TGGGCCGCTCAGAAGTGAAAATCTCGATGAGCAGATACATACCAATCCCAGGCCCTGGTATTCAGAAATCAATAATCATACATTTATTTTATAAATAATATAGGTAATTATAATAATTAATAACTTACAGGGATAAAATTTGACAGACCCATGCTGGGAGCTGCAACGTCGATGACCGCATGTCCGAGTAAGTTTTAAGAAATAATTATTTAATGAACGGATGGGTTTTACACATTTATACTAAAATATTATCTATTTTGTTATTTACATGGGACAATGGACATATCTATCACATACATTCCAATTGGCAATTAGTGCTGAAAAAGTAATAGATGAATTGACTAAAAAAAAAAAATGTAATTACATTTTGTACTATAATTGTTTTGAAATAAAATGTATTAAATATATAATATGTTTTGTTATTTATAATTTGAATGTGCAGATACCAGGTTTAAATTAATTTGTCTGATCCCCCATACAAAAATAATATGTATACCGTATACGCCACTGATTGTATATAAGTTAAATATACAGACCATAGTCTATTCAGAATAAGAGCACACCAGATTTACGTAGCAAAACCGGTTTTGACCGTGGCCGCCTGGTGTTATCTTATTCTGAATAGAGTATGGCTGACATCACGTCAAACGTAGCTATTGACCGAAAATATGGCTTCCAAGAGTAAAGTCCTACTAAAAAATAACGATTAACAAACGAGCAATCATTTTATATTTTTATATATATACCTAAACTATCTGTATACTTAACTTAGGCCGTTAAAAAATGGATAAATATAAAATACAGTGCTAATAGGTACTATATACCTTGGCACTTTGTGAACTAATTGCACCGAGGCGGGTAGACGGTACAAACTATTTACTCTCTAAACTTTCCTGATATCTTTGAAAAAGTTAGGACAAATATCAATCCATGAAATTTTCGTCAAAATAGGTCGAGTATTTTTTTTTATTAACTATTAAACTACATACATGAGTAAATTAATTTTTATACACAAATTAACTTTTTTATTTTTGTAACATATGAAAACCATATAGAGGTAGGTATGTAAAAAAAAAATCCGATTATCATGAACCAAAACGAAATCAATGTGTGAGGTCCCCTTTCAGTTATAAACACTGCCCAAGTCTCAAGCATAGGCACAACTAGACCTCTAAAACGTGGAGTGCTATAATTGTAAATGCTTCACGAGCCGCCGGGTTACTTGAAAACTTTTCGTACACATTTTATATTAATTATAAAAATAAAATATTGAGGTAGCCAGTTGGTACCTAAAATACTCTTTTTATTAAGATTTGAACGACAAAACGATAATAACTAATATAAAACTCATGATGGTTTACCAGTAAACAGTAATAAACAGTCCATCATAGTGTACATTTTTGATGCTGTTTGAATGTTTGATGCTGATTTGCTTTTTGATGGGACCAAATTTTTTTCGGTAAATAGGTTAATATTATATAATTTATAAACATAATTGATGGTATTTCAGTATTTTGCTATAATAATGGTTAAGACATAAACCTAAAAAACAAGGGGTGCTAAATTTGAACTTGTAGATACTAAAGACCCTTTTCTCTCCCCCTCCCCACCCTATACTGGGGATAGTTTTTAAAAGAACAAAGGTTTGTTAATACTTAAACAGGACATAATTTGTCCATGAAATAAATTTAAATGCAACAAAAATAACTTTGGTATTTTTAAATTATTTATTTATTTTGTTATGATAATTTTTACATATAATTATAAAAATATTATATAATATAAAAAATAAGTTTCTTTAGAACTGGAAAACTGTTAATGTGGGTTGGTGTGGAGCGGTTCGTACACTCAACTGCGAGAATGCTGTGAGTGTATGTATCGGCCGGTGTTACTAGCTCCCGGGATTTTAAGCTTTAAATCTTTGCCACACATACAAAATGTGTTTCAACTAGCTGTACCCCCCCCCCACAAACCAAAAAAAAATTGCTAAATGCTGAAAGTAAATTGTAAATGCTATGCATTTGAAAGACAGGACAACAAATGAAGGTATACGACTTCTTAATAACTAAAAAATATATTTTTTAAACTTTAAAATTGGTATTGTGTTAATGAAGTGATTAAATTATATTTAAGAACAGTTAAAAATAAATATTCCTTTAGGTATTATGTTGTAACTTAGTCCAACAATTACATTTGCATATTTCTTATATATTATAATATGTTGTCAATGGATATTAAGAATATTTCTTGACAGCGACTTATTTTTTTTTAGTTCAGTAAGACAATAATTGTTCAACTAGTCACCAAATGTGGTTGTAATGCATAGTGATAGGACCACCCAATGGTGCCGACTATTGTAAAAATGCACACCCGAGAAGTACTCTTAATGTAAATAGAAGATTTTTACTTAATTATTTAAAATTTTAATCTTTGACAGCATGCACAGTAACAGGAAGATATGCCTTGATTGTTTCTCCTGTAATCGGACATATTTGAACCATTTGTCTCTCACATATTTTATCTTTAACATGCATGGAATATCTGTCATGCAAATGTTGTGGCAAAATACTGTACATAACATCTACTGCTTTGATGGCACCTAATAAACACAAATAAATAAGATTAATAATCAAGAAACAATAAAAAAAAATAATAATTTTGCATTGTAACAAAAATGTTTGAAAACTTTTAATACCTGGGTTATTCAGTAGTTTAATACTATGGTAACAGATAAGGGCCCCCTTTCTATATTGTCAGTCTTAAGCTGTTAGTAAAGAATGATATATAGCATGGATCTCTAACCTTCTTTTTACAGCTGGCCAAATCTTAAATATGTTTCAGCATCGCGAGCCAAAGTTGTTTAGACTATTTAGAAGGATAGAACGGCAATGTAATTTAAGAAAGATGAGCGTCACTTGTAAACGCTTGTCATTTAAGTTACTTGTATAGTTATTTCCTCTTTAGTAAAAAGTTAGATAGGAAACCACTGGAATTGAACATTTGCCATAATATGCTCATTATAAACTAAGTAATGATCAGGTAGAGTAAAATAGAAGCTATTATATAATTTTTAATGAAAATTAATATATTAAATATCAATAACTTTTAACTTCAGATTCAGTGAGCAGAACCTAAAGAGAGTTCTGTAAAATATTAGTTATTAGGTTGAAATGTATGTCATAAACTCATATGAAAAAATATTCTACCCAATATTACATTAAATAAAAAAGAAAAAAATGGAAGTTTTATTAAAAAATTTGAAATGAAGTAACTAGGTGAGATTTTACTAGTAAAAGAATAACATATTACAATTTAATGGGTAAAAGGTTAGAGGAAAGAGTAAACATAGTTTAGGTTAAGTTATAAATACAGAAGTACCATATCTAATGGAAATTAAAAGTTGAAATAGTGTCAAGGACTAATTATTAAACAATTAGACTGAACAGGTGAATTAGACACAAAAAATGAGATTGAACATGTAAAATTAGTTAAAAAATGAAATATAATTAATTTTGGGTAATTTGATGAGTAATAACAATATAACTTGGAAATTATATAGTATACAACTCATATTTAATATTACATAAATTTTAAGTTTTTTGATAAGGGTAAATAATAATTATTATATAAAAAGATTATTAACATTCTATATTATTTATCAGCCAAATATAATATAATATATAAAGTAAAGAAATGCATAAAGAAAAAACTGTATTTATTCATACAATTTTGAAATTAAAAACATTTGAACAAGATAAAGCTTACTTGATAAATTAAAAAAATTATGATTTTTTGTTCATATTTAAAAGTTGTTGTTCAGAATTAAAGATTTTTTTACTGCATATTTGAGGATAGTTTCATTAGTCATATTCAAGTGTCTTTTAGTGCATCAATTTAGATTTTAGATTTGAGTATTAAGAGGGCGCCACACCCGCATGTGGTGCTTCCGTCTTACAAATTTGTAACATAGCAAATTGTAAGCTCAGCAGAACACGCGTTGCTCCGTTAGTTTAAAATGTTCCATGATACGCACTTGTAAGACGGAGACAAAACATGCGGGTGTGTTGTCCTCTTAAGCGTAAACAAATGCAAATAACTAAAAATTATTGTTGTAGAAGCTTTTTATCCAGAAAAAAAATGTTATTATTATAATTACTTAAAAGTGATGAGAAGTCTGGAAATGTATATTTTTTGACACTTGATTCTATATTAATAATTCGAAATCCAGCCTTGGTGAAAATGTCTTTTATTTCATCTTGTGAATGCACATTTTGTGACATCTGCTTTATATCCTATATATAATGTGTTGTAAGTTTATTATAACAAATAATGAAAATATAAAATAATTATGATATTGTAATATTGCATTTTTAAAGGTATCATTTTAATCATCATATTTATTTATTTATTAATTAATTGACGTCATTCGGCATTTACATAGATGGTAATATATACAGTTAATAAAAAATAATCTTATTAATGTAAAAATCATTGATAACATAAATAATAATTAAATTTAATGTACTAATAACTTAATTATAAACATAAAGATAAATTACTAGGAAGTGAACAGCATCCTAATTATGAGCGTGGCAATAAAACTAAGATACGAAGAAATATTATTTTTAGTATAACATGGAATTTTGTTTAAGGTGGTGTTAAGGTGGCGGAGAATTCTATGTATAGGATGGTTGTGGTTGTAGTTTGTACGGTGAGAGGGGATGCAATATAAGGAGTGGTTTCTGGTCGGATAGACAGGAATACGAAAAGATCATATACATTTAATAAGTAATAACAAAACAAAAACAGTTTGTTTTAAATTGTTATATTAATATTGTAGTAAGTAATTGTAATAATAGGTTTTCCAATTAATGCGGGTCGATGTTATCTGCGCTGTATGGCCTAATCGTTTTGTTTACGTCTTTATATTTTATTGTAAATTATTCAGTCATATGTGCCAAATCATCATGGCGAGTTAAACTATTGAGCAGCACGTCCAAATGATAAAACTTTTCTATCAAAATCAAAGTTCGATAACTCAAACATTGCGCTCGTCACGTCCTTTTTACGGCCGACCTAGTGGCCCTTCAAAGTCAACTCTCCAACGTTTGGTAGCAAAATTTGAGACAACAGGTTCGGTAAACGATCAAATAACACCAGTACGTCAAAGAACCTCCAGATCGGCCGATAACATCGCCGCGGTACGTGAAAGTGTGCAGGAGAACCCGGGGCAATCAATTCCTCGCCATGCACAAGAACTCGGTCTTTCAAAGTCTTCGACTTGGCAAATTTTGGGCCGGGACTTGGGCTTACACCCGTAAAATATCCAACTGACCCAGGAGCTCAAAATTAATGACCATAGACAACGCCGTTTGTTCGCTGACAGGGTTTCGGAACGTTTGGAAGAAGACTCCAATTTTGACAGAAAAATCATCTTTAGTGACGAAGCGCATTTTTGGATGAAGGGCTATGTAAACAAACAAAATTGCCGTATATGGAGCGATACCAATCCATATGAGGTTACCTGGTGAAGGTAACAATGCATCTACAAAAAGTTATGGTTTGTTGTGGATTTTGGGCTGGTGGCATCATTGGTCCGTACTTTTTTGAAAACGATGTTGGTGAGGCTACCACCGTCAATGGTGAGCGTTACAGAACAATTTCTTTTTCCCCAAAATGAACGATATGGACGTGGACGATATGTGGTTTCAACAAGATGGTGCTACGTGCCATACATCGAACACCATGATAGCCATTCTGAGAGACAAATTTGAGAGTATGGTTACCTCTCGCCAAGGTGACGAGAATTGGCCCCCGAGATCGTGTGATTTGACCCCTTTAGTTTTTTTCTTGTGGGGTTTCTTGAAGTCTCAGGTCTATGCTAATAAGCCACAATCGACAGATGACCTTAAATTAAACATAACCCAGGTCATCGCTCAAATTCAATCAGATCTATGCGGCATTTTTCATTGAAAATTGGACCACTCGGATTCGTACCACTGTGAGAAGCCGTGGTGGACATTTGAATGATATTATATTTAAAACGTAATTGGCATACTTTAAACTTTGAAATAAAAAAATAATTTTGTTAATACCTCAAACACAGCTTGTTTTATTTAATTTCAACATCGGCCCGCTCTTATTGAAAAACCTGTTAGAATCAAGAAACTTGATTTTTTTTACTAGATACTAAATCTCCATATAAAATATAACTATCCTAATATAAATTTATAAAATGGAAAGTATTTTTATTAATAGAAATAAAACCTACAAGAAAAAAATAACATAATTAATATACTCACTTTAATATATATTTGCCATTCTGTATCCATACATTTATACAATTCAACTAATGGATTAATTAACAGGAAGTTAACCAGAATTTCTCCACCACTTTTCAACATTAAGTGCATATTCAGCAAGGAATCAACTTTATTATGAACCCAGTGAAAGCAGAAAAATGAAAATATTTTGTTAAATCTGTGCGAGTAAAAAGAGCAGTCATGGGCATTTTCTATATCCAAAACCTTGAAATCCATCTTGGAGCATCCATAGGTTTTTTTTGCAAATTCTACCATTTCTATTGATTTATCAACACCAACCTAAAAAAAAAAAAAATTAATATAAATACATAGTACTTGTAAAAATAATATTTTGACCTAAGTTAAACTAACCAACTGATTGACTTTATTCTTTAAAAAAGGATAAAGAATATCTGAGGTAACATCACCTGGTCCACATCCTAAGTCTAAAACTATTTCATTAGATTTCCATACCATTTTTTCTATATATATATTTGAGATATCTCTGGCATCCCTCCGTTGCATACCATTATCTTTGATATACTGCCCTGGGCAATGCATTTTAACAAACTAAATATTTTCTCACAAAACATACTCTTTTATACTTGGTTGAGTGATAATCACATTAGGGTTCAAGGTATAATACCTAACAGACCTTCTTAATAATGTAATTTCCATAACAAACACATTATTGTAAAGCAATGTGATTAAATTTATGCATAAAAATCTTCCACCTATTTATACTTATATAATCTGATTTTTAATTTTGTTTAGAAAGCCTTTTCATAAACTATGTGTTAGTTAATCTGATCCAAGTAAATTCTTTAGTATGTAAATTACCTATTATTATTCAAAGTATTATTTGTAGACCAACCTACCTTTATGACATGTACCTAATTTCCTCAGCCCTATACTTATTTTAATTTTAATGTTATGCTATAGAAATGTAAATATTAACATAATTATAAATGTACCCTCCTTAGCATATACAAACTACTTATTACTATCTATGAATATTATTTAATATATTTTTACATTTATTTAGTTGACATAAACTGCTATAAGACTCATAGCTTTTATTAGGGTACTTTCGGGTTATCTCGGGTTACCCAAATATTTTCAAGACTACCAGTTATAATAATCCACGTTTATCTCAGGGTTGGCACGAAAAAGAGCAGCCCGAAAAAACACATGCTGCTTTTCTGGGTTAAACCCACTTGATATTTTAAAAAACCCATACAAAAACCCAGGCTTCTTTTCTGGGTTAAACCCACTCGTTATTTTGAAAAAAACACATAAAAACTCGGGCTGCATTTCTGGATAAAATAGAAATTCACTCTTATTTTTTTTAATTTGTGTTAATTTCCAGAAAAATTTACCTTACTTCTGGGTGTTATTTATTTTTCCAATTCAGTAATATACTGCGGGGTGCCACCATTTTGTGACTTTCCCCTCCCGTAAATCAAACCACATACTATTTACTTATTGTATAACTTGCAAATACAGATTGTAAATATACATTTTGGTTAAATAGAAAAAAAAAAAAGTATTTAACTGATTTTCAAAATATTTAATAATAATTTTTTTTTAATTAGGTACCTAGGTACAATTCAAAATAAAAATTGAAAAAAATTACACACCAATGGTCAATAGAAATGTTAACAATATTTTATTTTTAATAAGGTATTAAATACGTAACTTTCCTGTAAATACTTAATGAATAATCTAAACAAAAATTTACAATTAACAAATAACAAATACTTGCTAATAAAATAATAGATAAGGGAAAAATCAAAAAACATTGCTGCTAATACCTCATGGAATAACGGATGAATTTTACGGATGGGTTTTTTCAGAAAAAACCCGATAAAAGTACCCATTTTACTTTTCTAATAAAACCCATTGGGTTTTTGGGGTTTTATATGAAAAAACCGAAAAAAAACCCAACCAGGTTGGGTTTTTTCTATAAGCCCCGGGTTTTTGCCAACATTGGACTTTATCTTGACTACCTCGTACTGAGTCGTACCTGATAATATATATAGGTACTGTTGGTTAAATAAAATTGTGAATCTTTTTATAAATTTACATTCCCGCATTGTAATCTGTATCATCGTAATATACAATTTAATTTTGTTTTCAATGTACGTTTTGTTTGCTATCCACGTACCTTAGCATAAGACCATTAACTATTAATTTTGTCAGTCGAAAGTCGTTTGTTAGGTAACCCACCTATTGTCCATAGTAGTTGTCACTTTTCAGCTATATCATTTACTATACAGTTTATGGTTATTACGCCTAGCTAACAAATGTTTTTTTATGAGATCATGAATTTATTTAATTATTATTTATTATTTATCATCAGAGAAGGAAGCTCCTGACATCTTCAAGACCACAAAGCGTAGCAAAGTGTGCGAATTTGTTCAAACAATCTCTTAGCAAAGTCATATTTCAGTAAAGAGATATTTGGAAATGTAATTTAAAATAAAAGGTAAATATTATACGTAATGGTAATTGGTTAGCGAAATTATAAATAAATATAATTTACGACTGCAATGTGATTTATACAGGGTGCCCCGTGAGGATATACCTATTAGCCGTAGAAGGGGACTCGTCGCCCGGACAAAAACCGGTTTTTTGTCGTTTTACTTATTAATTAAAAAAATTATTAAAAATCAGGAAATTAATGAAATTAAAATGTTGAAACGTCAATATTTTCAGAAAAATTAACTCAACAAAATGGCAATCTTCAATATTTTTTTAAATAATTAACTAAAAAAATAATTTGTAGTTCTTACCTCTGTGAGTCTTAATAAGAAAACAGAATTACGATATCTCTATTATTTCAGGAGATATTGCAATGAGTAAATCCTCACGGGACACCCTGTATGTGTTTATATATAGCTGGTCTCATGAAAGGACCAATATGAACTGGTGTGAGCAACAATTCAATTTAAATTAAAATACAGTTATAGAATGGAACATTACATGAAGTATGTGCAATAGTTTCCAAAAATAAACCACAAGGAAAAATAGGTAATCCGGAGATCAACTGTAGAGATTGATGAAAGTTTATTTTTGAAAAGAATAAATCACATTGAGGGAGTACTTTCCAAATATTGGATATGGATGAATTGGTTGAGAGACAAACAGAAACTTTTCTAACGGCAATCAAGAATAAAATTTAGTAAGGTACCACAATTTATATAGATTTTTTGAATGCTTTTAACACTGAATTATTAAGAGCAAATTATATAAAAAAATTATATTATTAATATAATACAAATATATACATTTTTATTTAAAAAATCCAGTAGTTGAATAAGCCAGAGGAACCAATATATAAAATTTAACCTTTTCAGTAGTGACAAATAGTTTTTGATATTTTCATTATTTATTCATTGATAACTAAGACTCACCATTATATGATGATACAATAACAGACGAAATCCAAAGGTCAGCTCGCAAATACAAGACAAGGCTAGTTCATCATGTCAATTCATAAGATAACTCCAAGGACAACATCTGAAACCATACGACTTGACTAAGTTTAAGATTTTATATTAAGACAAGAACCACTTCATTGAAAGTGACTCCATCAATGAGTAAAGTATATATAATTTATATCTAGTATGTAAAACATATACGATTGATATTTATAAAGACTTTTGGGTCGTTTAAATAATAAAGCCCCAGGGAATTTAAAAAAAAAAGATAATATACTCTTATTCTAAATAAGAAACACCATGGCAGCCACTGGCAAAACAGTATTTGTTATTTAAAAGTGGGTGTTTCGTTTGAAATATGGTATAACCATTAGTGATTTTAGTAATAATTAATTAAATATCTAATTAACAATATTGGTTTTTCTACATTAAGATTAAGTTGATCAATGTAGGTACTACTTGTTTATTTTTACTTATTTATTAAATCACCTCATCGGTAGTGACGAATTCTATTACATGTATTCATTACTTATTCATTGCTAACTTGGATTATAATCATTGGTGATTTAATAAAAT